TGGGTGGCTGCTTGAGCATCAACTTCAGTTCACATCAGGATCTCAAGGTTCATGAGTTGGAGCCCCTCATTGGATTTGCTGCTGTCAAGTGTGGAGCCTGCTTCAGATTCTCTATCTCCCTCTTTCTCTGCCCCTCCCCAGCTCATGCTCTCTCTCTCTCAAAAAAAGAAATAAACCTTTTTTTAAAAAAAACTAATTGGGATAATGGGGGCTTCAAACAATCCCAGATCCAGAGCACAACATGTTGTTTTTCAACTTTTGTCTATTTATTAGCAAGAAAACTGTTGACATCCAGTGTCATAATCGATGCCCTCTAACCTGTGTACTTTTGAGGACAGTGACCCTCAACAGCTCTGCCTTGAGAAGTGAAACAAAATTATTTATGAACTATACTACACATAGTGTTACAAATGACAGTAAATTGCACACAATCAGTTTTTAAAAATATGAATTAGAGAAGATTAAAAATTATCTAATCTTTTATTCATTCATGTAAAAACATTTTTTAAAAAGGGAAGTACAAAGAGTGTGCAACAATGGAAGATATGCCTGGAAAGTTCTGCTTTGGTGATAGTACATCTCAGAAAAACACTCATCTAGGACATGGCCAGTTTTCAGGTGAGAACGTGAATGAATGGATTTCAATCAGAATAAAATGGTTGATATGTGTTTGTGACACAAAGTTTTCATTTAAATTAAGAACAAGAATGCATGCTGAGGATCACAATGGATGGACCATATTATAGAGTTTCTGATATTTTTCCTCCAGATCTACTTCCTACTCTTTCCCTGGGTCTGACTTAGAGATTGACTATTATAGACTGGATGTTTGTGTCTCCCCAACAATTCGTATGTTGAAATCCTAGCCACTAATATGATGGTACTAGGAAGTGAGACCTTTGGGTGGTGATTATGTTTTGAGAGTGGAGGCCTTGTGAGTGGAATCAGTGTCCTTATAAAGGAGACTGCAAAGTGCTCCCTCACCCCTTCTGCCATGACACAGCATGAAGACAGCCATCTATGAACCAGGAAATGGCTCATACCAGACATCAAATCTGCTGGTGCCTTGATCTTGGATTTCCCAGCCTCCAGAACTGTGAGAAGTCAGTTTCTAGGTTTATGTGCCACACAGTCCATGGTATTTTGTAGTGGCAACATGAACAAACTAGACAATGCCCTTATAAAATAGGCTGTAGAGAGCTCTCTTATTCCTTCCACCATGTGAGAATGCAGCGTGAAGACAGCCATCTATGAAACAGGAAGCAGCTCTCACCACACGTCAAATCTGCTAGTGCCTTGATCTTGGACTTCTCAGCCTCCAGACTATGAGAAATAAATTTCTGTTGTTTATAACCCCCCCACCCCCCCAAAAAACCTAATTGGCTAAAGAAAAGTCCAACTGGTTGGGACACCTGGGTGGCTCAGTCAGTTAAGCATCAGCTTCAGCTCAGGTCATGATCTCACAGTTTGTGAGTTCGAGCCCCGTGTCAGGCTCTGTGCTGACAGCTTAGAGCCTGGAGCCTGCTTCAGATTCTGCGTCCCCCTCTCTCCCTGACCCTCCCCCATTCACACTCTGTCTCTCTCTCAAGAATAAACATTAAAAAAATTTTTTTTTAAATAAAAGTCAATCTGGTTAAGGGATATAAGGAACATTAAGAAGTCTCATTGAATGATAAAAGTTATATTGATTATACAATATAATAGTTTATCTTTTCCTATTTTAAAAGTGTTAAGAAAAAGTCATGGAAGGCAGAAAATCAGTAAAGAGTCAAATTCTCCCTGCATGAGAATTTTACCTTCAGTTAGTTGTCTAGCTCTGAAAATAAATAAAAGAGGTATGTATCAACTATGTTATTAAGCAACATTTACCAAGGTTAAAATGAACATTGGTAAATTGAATCTGGACTTGGAGAGCTATAAATACCTCATGAGAAGCCATATGCTCTGGATTTCCTTAGTGTGGGACTCATAACTGGACAACTTCCTTGTGAGAATCCTGGAAGATATGGATTTGCATCAAACTTCCAAGGATCATGAGTCTTTTAAACCAGAGAAGCTTCTACATTTCACCCATTAATGTTAATTTCCATTTCCTTGAAACTGAGCTTTTACTTGGAGAATCAGAGAAAATAGCACCAAAGTGACTGTTTAAACTACTGTAGGGACTCCTGCAAAACTTACTTCCACAAAACAACACATGGCAAGCTCTGGTGCCTGTCTCAGAGCCTCTAAATATACCTAAATGTAGTCTATGTTAGTTTTGTAAGACCAAATGCTTAGTTGAACCTAAAAAAAAAAGTTGGGAGGTGACATTAGTATGATGATGGACTTGGAGATTCCAATAATTGTGTCTTTCAGAAAAAGGACAGATGACCACTAAAAAAATAGTTCTGAAAGCTCTGGACTACAATGCAGTAGTAGCAGGAAACCCTGTGGAGCACAAAAACTGAGGATGGCTGATAGAAAAGAATAGGAAAGATTGTACTTGCATCATCCTATTCACAAGTCCAAAGCAGCTCAGCACCAAGCAGGATCCCCTTAGAGGAATTCACTTCATGGGGAAAAGGGAAATAGAGGGAGTCCAGAAATCTCCATCATTGCTTGGAACATCTCCAGCCTTGCTACCAAGAACCCCACAGAATTTACCAACACTGAACACAGTTGTTGTAGCTGCCCAGGGTTCCTGTTGCTGCATCTCCTCCCTAGGGCTAGAGCTGCTGCCGTGCTGTGCCCCATCCCTTGTGTTCTGAGTCAGGGCTTTGGCCCACCATTACCAGTGCTGCACTGTCACTGCTCTGTGCCCCACCCGCTAGGGTCTAAGTTGTGGACGTTGCTACACTATTGCTACTCTACACTCTGCTCCCTAAGGCCTGAGTGATGATTATGACCTTCCACTATGAGGGCTGCACTGCCTCTGCATCCTGCCCCCTAAGCCCAGGCCATGACTGCACCTTTCATCCCTGGGCCCATGCTCTGCTGCATTCTACCTCCCTTCCCCTGGGGCCCAAGTCATTACAGCAAGCCCCAGATACTCGGAGATCATTTCCATGAATAATCTGCACATGCCTCTGCCTCAAACACCCATACCATCACAACAGCAAGTGTAACTGTATCCCATGCCTTAGGTAACATAGTAGTATGCACGTTCCTGAGCACAAGACCCCAGCTTGACTGCTGCTCTGGGTGCCATTGTTCTAGACCCAATTCCAGGAGGATATTCTGGGCTAGAATCTCCTCCTATGGACAAAAAGAAGAGAACGCCAGCAGCTTTGCCACCAAGTATCACAGCATCCCTAGTTGCCACCGCCACTGAAGACACCCACAGCTTTGGTCACTGAAAACCTTCAGTCTTCACTGACATGACTAATGGTAATGGAGCTGCATAAATACTATACCACTGTACTTTTCCCAGAATCAGGTATACTGCACTCACCAACAACTGCCTTACAACCGCCTGCCAGTGAAAGTATTTCCCCACTGAAGAGGTGATTTCTCCCACAAATGTACAGACATCAACACAAGGCCACTAGAAACTTGAAAAAGTAAAGAAATATGATACCACCAAAGCAACAAAATAATTACCAGTAACTGACCCAAAAGAAATGGAGGTCTACAAGTTACCTGACAAGGAATTCAAAATAATTATTTTCATAAAGGTCAGGGATTTTCTTCAACGTTTATTTATTTTTGGGACAGAGAGAGACAGAGCATGAACGGGGGAGGAGCAGAGAGAGAGGAAGACACAGAATCGGAAACAGGCTCCAGGCTCTGAGCCATCAGCCCAGAGCCTGATGCGGGGCTCGAACTCACGGACCGCGAGATTGTGACCTGGCTGAAGTCGGACGCTTAACCGACTGCGCCACCCAGGCGCCCCAAGGTCAGGGATTTTCAAGTGAACACAAATAGCTCAAAAAACTTATGAAATCAATACATGGATAAAATGAGAAGTTTAGCAAAGAGATAGAAATAATTTTTCAAAGAACCAAAGAAATATACTGGAGCTAAAGAATACAATGAATGCAATGAAAAATGTATTAGAGAGCTTTTGTAATATACTTGATTCAAACAGAAGAATCTGTGAACTTGAAGATGGACCTCTTTAGTATCTAGTCAAAGAAAAAAGAATAAAAAGAAAGAAGAAAGCATATGGGATTGTGAGACACCATCATAAGAACAAATATACTCATTATGGGGATCCTAGGAAACAGAGAGAAAAGGGGGCAGAAGAGTTAACTCACAAACTACCAAAACTGAAACAGGAAGAAATAAAAAATTTGAACAGACCCATAACCAGCAAAGAAATTGAATCAGTAATCAAAACTCGCCCAGCAAACTAGAGTCGTGGGTTAGATGGCTTCTCAAGGGAATTCTACCAGACATTTAAAGAAGAGTTAATATCTATTCTTCTCAAACTTTTCCAATAGAAGGAAAACTTTCAAATTCCTTCTATGAGGCCTATGTATCACCCTGATACAAAAATCAGATAAAGACACTACAAAAAAAACCAAGAACTACAATATCTCTGATGAATGTAAGTGCAAAAATCATCAACAAAATACTACCAAACAGAATCCAGCAATACATGTAAAAAGCCATTCACCATTTTCAAGTGGGATTTATTCTTGGGTTGCAAGCATGGTAAAATATTCTCAAATCAATCAGTGTGATACATCACATCAATAAGAGAAAGGATAAAAACCATATGATCGTTTCAATAGACACAGAAAAAGCACTTGATATAGTACAACATCCATTCTTGATAAAAGCCCTCAACAAACTAGGTTTGGAGGGAACACACCTCAACATACCATAGGTCATATATGAGAAACAGCTAATATAAGCCTCAATGGGGAAAAACTAGGAAACTTTCCCCTGCAGTCAAGAAGAAGACAAGGGTGCCCTCTCTCAGCATTACTATTTAACATAATACTGGAAATTTTAGACTCAGGAATCAGACAACAAAAAGAAATAATGAGCATACAAATCAGCAAGAAAGAAGTCAAACTTCTACTGTTTGCAGATGACATGATACTGTATGTAGAAAACCCGAAAGACTACATGAAAAAATTGCTAGAAGTAATACATGAATTAAGTAGTCACAGGATATAAAATCAATGTGTAGAACTCTTGCATTTCTATACACCAATAACGAAGCAGCAGAAAAAAAAAATAAAGGAATCAATCCCATTTACAATTGCACCAAAACCAGCAAGAAACCTAGGGATAAACCTAACTAAAGAGGTAAAAAGATCTGTACTTTGAAAACTATAGAACACTTATGAAAGATAATGAAGAGGACACAAAGAAATGGAAAAGCATTCTATGCTCATAGATTGGAAGAACAAACATTGTTCAAATATCTATAGTACCCAAAGAAATCTACACATTTCATGCAATAGCAATTAAAATAACACCAGAATTCTTCACAGAGTTAGATCAAAGAATCCTAAAATTTGTATGGAACCACAAAAGACCCCAAACAGGCAAAGCAATCCTGAAAAAAAAATAAAACTGGAGGCATCACAATTCCAAATTTCAAGCTATATTACAAAGCTGTAGTCATCAAAATAGTTTGGTACTGACACAAAAACAGATACATAGATCAATGGAACAGAATAGAAAACCCAGAAATGGACCCACAACTATGTGGTCAACTCACCTTCGATGAAACAGGAAAGAATATGTAATGGAAAAAAGACAGTCTGTTCAACAAATGTTGTTGTGAAAACTGGACTGCAATATGGAGAAGAATGAAACTGGACTACTTTCTTATACCATACACAAAATTAATTCAAAATCAATGAAAGACCTAAAGGTGGGAAACCAACAAAATCCTGGAGGAGATCACTAGCAGTAACCTCTTTGACCTCAGTCAGGGCAACTTCTTACTAGACATTTCTCTGGAGGCAAGGGAAACAAAAGCAAACATGAACTTTGGGACTTGATCAAGATAAGATCTTCTGCACAGCAAAGGAAACAATCAACAAAACTAAAAGGTAACCTTAAAAATGGGAGAAGAGGGGCGCCTGGGTGGCGCAGTCGGTTAAGCATCCGACTTCAGCCAGGTCACGATCTCGCGATCCGTGAGTTCGAGCCCCACGTCAGGCTCTGGGCTGATGGCTCAGAGCCTGGAGCCTGTTTCCGATTCTGTGTCTCCCTCTCTCTCTGCCCCTCCCCCGTTCATGCTCTGTCTCTCTCTGTCCCAAAAATAAATAAACGTTGAAAAAAAATTAAAAAAAAAATGGGAGAAGATATTTGCAAATGACATATCAGATAACGGGTTAGTATCCACAATATGTAAAGAACTTATCAAGCTTAACATATAAAAAACAAACAACCTATTAAGAAATGGCAGAAGACATGAAGAGAGGGGTGCCTGGGTGGTGCAGTTGGTTAAGTGTCTGACTCTTGATCTCTGCTCAGGTCATGATCTCATGGTTTGTGAGTTCAAGCCCTGCATTGGGATCTGTGCTAATGGTACGGAGCCTGACTGGGATTCTGTCTCTCCTTCTGTCTGCCCCTTGCCCGCTTGCATTTTCTCTGTCTCTTTCTCTCAAATAAGCAAAAAACTTTATATATATAAAAAGACATGAATAGACACTTTTCCAAAGAAGATGGTTAACAGATGTATGGAAAGATGCTTGACATCATTCATCATTAGGGAAATACAAATCAAAACCACGATGAGATACCACCTCACACCTATCAGAATGGTTAAAATTAACAACACAAGAAACGGGGGAGAAAGGGGAGTCCTCTTGCACTGCTGCTGCCAGTGCAAACTAGTGCAGCCACTCTGGAAAACAATATGGAGGGTTCTCAAAAAACTAAAAATAGAACTACTCTACAATCCAGCAATTGCAGTATTAGATATTCAACCAAAGGATACAAAAATACATATTTGAAGGGACGCATGCATCCCAATGTTTATAGCAGCATTATCAACAATAACCAAACTCTGGAGAGAGCCTGAATGTCCATCAACTGATGAATGAATAAAGGAGATGTGGTGTGGTGTGTGTGTGTGTGTGTGTGTGTGTGTGTGTGTGTGTGTGTGTGTGTGTGATGGAGTATTACTCAGTCATCAAAAAGAATGAAATCTTGCCATTTTCAATGATATGGATGGAGCTAGAATATATCATGCTAAATGAAACAAGTCAATCATAAAGAAAATATCATATGATTTCACTCATATGTGGAATTTAAGAAACAAACAAACATATGGGAGTGTGGGGGAAAGAGAAGAAAGGGACACAAGACACAAGAGACTCAATGATAGAGAAAAACTGAAAGTTGATAGAGGGAGGTGAGTAGGATGGACTAGGTTGGTTATGGGTATTAATGAGGGCACTTGTGGTGAGCACTGGGTGTTGTGTGTAAGTGATGAATCACTGAATTCTATTTCTGAAACCAATGCTGCACTGTGTATTAACTAACTAAAAGTTTAAAAAAATTAATGGCTTAAAACTTCCCAAATCTTGGAAGATACATTGACATTCAAGTACATAAATTTCAAAGATCCTCAGACATACTCAAGATACATTATAATCAACGATAAAGTGAGAATTTGGAAAGCAGCAAGAGAAAAAATTCATCACTTACAAGAGAACCCCCATAAGGCTATCAGCAGATTTTGCAGCAGAAATCTTGTAGGCCAGGAAACATTGGGATGATATATTCAAAGTGTTGGGGGAAAAAGCCATCCAAGAATACTTCAGCTAACAAAGTTGTCCCTCAGAAATAAAAAAGAGATAGAGTTTCTTAGCAAAATGAAAGCTAAGGGAGTTTATTACCACCAAGAAAACTTGCCCAAAATTAGTAGAAGGAAAGAGATAAAGGTTAGAATAGAAATAAAGAAAATAGATTACAAAGAAAATAGAAGAGATCAACAAAATCGAGTTGGTTTTCTGACAAGATAACAAAACTGACAATCCTTTAGCTATGCTAAGGGAAAAAGAGAAATGACTCAAATAAAATTATAAAAAAAAAAAAAAGACACAACTGATACGATAGCAATCCAAAGGATCTTAAGGGATACTGTGAACAAGTATATGCCAACAAATTAGATAACCTAGAAGAAATAGATAAATTCATAAAAATATACAACTTACCAAGGTTGAATAATGAAAATATAGAAAATCTGAACAGACCAATAAGTTAAGTATTTTAAATCAGTAATCAAAAATCTCCCAATAAGGAAAAAATCCAGGACCAGATGCCCTCAGTGGTGAATTCTATAAAATATTTAAGAACGAATTAATGCCAACACTTCTGAAATTTTTCCAAAACTTGGAAGAGGATGGAACACTTCTAAATTCATTTTATGAGGCAAACATTACCTGATACCAAAGCTAGATAATTACAGAAGAAAATAAATTTACAGGCCAATATTTTTGGTGAACTTTGATATAAAAATCCTTAACATATTTGGGCTCTTTCCATAGTTTCGCTATTGTTAGTAATGCTACTATAAACATCAGGGTACATGTACCCCTTTGAATCTGTCAGATTTTTGTGTCCTTCAGGTAAATACCTAGTAGTACAATTTCTGGATCATAGGGTAGTTTATTTTTAACTATTTAAGGGAATTCCACACCATGTGGATGTAGCCAGAGTGTATTATTCTAAGCAAAGTAAGTCAGGCAGAGAAAGACAAATACCATATAGTTTCACTCATACGTGGAATTTAAGAAACAAAACAGATGAACATATAGGAAAGGGGGAGAGGGGGTAAAGGGACAGATGGAAACAAACTACAGGAGACTCTTTATGATAGAGAACAAACTCAGGGTTGATGAAAGGAGGTGGGTGGAAGATGGGTTAAATGCGTGATGGGTATTAAGGAGGGCACTTGTTCAGTTGCATACTGAGTATTATATGTAAGTGATGAATCACTAAATTCTACTGAAAACAATATTATATGTTAACTAGCTAGAATTTAAATAAAATTTTGAAAAATATCCTTAACACAATACTAGCAAACCAAATTCAAATGTGCATGAAAGGGATCCTACGTTAAAATAAAGTGGGATTTCTCCCTGGAATGCAAGGATGATTCAATAGAAGCAAATCAATCAAAGTGATATACTACACTAACAGAATGAAGTATAAAAATATATGATCATTTCAGTAGATACAGAAAAATCATTTTATGAAATTTAACATATACTTTCATGATAAATGTTTTCAATGGATTATGGATAGAAGGAATGTACCTCAACATGATAAAGGCCATATAAGAAAAACCCACAGTGAATATAAATCTCAACTGTAAAGCTAATAACTTTTCCTCTAAGATTAGGAACAAGGCAAGGATTCCCATTCTCACCATTTATTTTCAACATAGTACTGGAAGTTCTAGCCAGAATAATAAGGCAAGAAAAGGAAATAAAAGCCATCCAAGTCAGACAGCAAGAAGCAAACCTGTTTCTATTTGCAAATGACATGACCTTATGTATGGCAAATCCTAAAGACCCCACCCAAAAGACTATTAGAACTAATCAACAAATTTAGTAAGGTTACAGGATACAAAGTCAACATATAAAATCAGTTCTATTTCTATACACTAACAACGAACTAACTGAAAGGCAAATTAAGAAAGCAATGCCATTTACAGTAGCATCAAAAACAACAAAATACTTAAGAATAAATTCAGTCAAGGAGGTGAAAGATCTCTACACTGAAAACTGCAGAACATTGTGGAAAGAAATTGAAGACCATATTAATCCCCTTTAGTGTTCCAGATATCCTTGATTCTGACCAAGGGACTCCTTTTACTTTCCATGATCTCCAGACCTGGGCATTAGAACAGGGTATTAAAACATCTTATTGGACTTTTATTTGTTACTAAAATTGCCATCTGGGAAATGAACCTCTTGCAGGCTTTACTCCTCCAAGCCCCCATTGTCCTCAACTCTGCACTCAGGGGGATCCATACCCCTCACACTAATTTTATACAAGTTGCCCCTGCTTGTTGTCAAAGCCAATCTGGCTTATTTCATTGTGTGGGACACTTATGTCCTAATAACTCCTGTCAAAGTTTCCTCATTTAAATGTAAGGAATTTTAGTTTTCTTCTAACCCCTTTGGCTTCAAAGCCCAATCAGGAATAGATTTTTAAATATGATCCTTTAACCACTGAAAGCCCATTAGGATGCCCTAAATATTTAATTCAGACACAGGAGTACCTACACAAGCTAATGCCAAAGACTGAGACCTTGCTGCTGGTACTCAGGATATAAAGGATGGCTCCTTACCTCCCATTCCACTGACTCTTCATAAAAAGTGGAAATTGTAGACCAAGAGTTGATCCATGGAGTTAGCTTCACCTCAGACAACTGCCTCTGCTCTGTATTTGGATTCTGTTTTGGACACTTCCCCTTTAAACAGCTCCCACACTCAGTACCCATGCTCCTGCTACACACAGCTAGTCCCAGTGAACTGCAACATTGTATTGCTCCCTATGAATATGAACTCTTCAAGTCCCTATTTTCCGAGATTGCTAATTGTTTAACCCTGGATCCTGCTTTGCTGAAACCTGCCTGTTAAACTGAGTTCAAATCCCATGATTGTAGAGCAGCTCGAGAATGCATTAAGGCTCTAGATTACAAAGTATTGTAAATTAAATACCACCCTGTAGGGAATATTTCCTAGTACACTTCTCTGCTGTGCCTAACCACTCATCCCCCAGATTCGCCACTCCTATGTGTCCTTCTAAAGATTTCGCATGATTTCTGTCCTTCCAACACTGACCATGGCAGGAATATCACACAGCCCAGCACTCATAGAGCTGGCACACAAGAGCATACATTCACACATACCACTCCCATGAACACCTGCACTTCCTGTGTCCTCTCTCTTATATCACAACAACCATCAAACTTCCCTGGTGACAGACCAGGACCTCTGACTCATACGAATGGGCCACCGAAGTTTCAGCTATGACTCTAGCTCTTTGAAACTGTTGGGCCTCCCAACAAGTCCCACTAGACATGGGGCCCCACCTCAAAATCCTCCCTGACAACTCCGTGCTAGACCAAGTTCTATCGTGGCTTCAGAGGAAAGCCCCATTTGCTTAAATATACCACTTACCTTCATTCTTAACTGTACTCACATGGGACAGCTACAGATTATACTCAAGTCATTCTCACAGGCTTAGAGCTTACACGCAGGAATCAACTGCACTTGGCCAATTCCCCATGCTGAGGATTTTACTCTCTTATCCTCATGGTATATGACAGTCTAAATAATGGTACATTCAAGTTCTACTGTAGCTCAAACTCACAGGCACAGCAACTTATGTATTTTTTTCTTTGCCAACTCCTTGTTTTTCCTAATGAAACCATATCCCAGAGTGAAGTGGTTACATGGGGGATTCCCATAGTTCTTTATCCACTGATTATTTCCCTATTCTGTCAACCCAAGGACACCAGGCAAAATGCACAATATTTATTCCTGTCTTAATAGGACTTACCATAGCTACAGGAATTGCGAGAGTTGGAGATTGTCAAATGCAATCAAATCATAACTGTCAAACAGAAACTTTCAGTGGACCTTCCAGGTCATATGCAAAGGCTGACCAAAACATTGTCCTTTATACAACTCGTCCGTGAATCTCTAGACCAAATGGTAATGGATGACAGACTGGCTATTGTCTATTTACTAGCCAGGGAAGGAGGAGTTTGTGCCATCCAGGATACCTCCTTCTGCATGCACATGAATAACTCTGGACAAGTATAGGCCAAGCTATGAGGAATGGCCGAGAGGTAAAAGTCTTTTATAATGTAAAGGCTTTTATATTATAAAATATAATATAACTATATTATTATATAATTATGATTACAATATATAATTATATAATATATATGTGTGTGTGTGTGTATATATATATATATATAT